GCACCACCTAATTCTTTGCACTTAACATATAAACCCCATATTAATAATACACACTAATATATTTCAATGGGTACACTCAAACAATATATAATGAATATAGTTTGGATATTATAAAAGTACATGTATACAATTTTACTTGAAATCAGTCAATAACATAAGCATATAGATGCTGCATATAATATAATAATATAATAACATTATTGCTAATTATTATCACTGCAATAAACAGTAAGGTTTCATAAGCAACTTTGAAATAAGCCCCCTTTTCTATTCATTCATTGAGCGAAGAGAAAAAAAAAATCTTTAGACATTCCAGTCTCTGTACATTGTCTTTTGTGGAGGCAGGAAAGTCATCAATCTTGACCTACATAGGCTGGCACCATCCTTAACTGATGTGCGTCTGAGACCCCCACAATTTACAACTTGAGAATGCTTATACTAACATTCCTAACTTCTTCTATGTAAAAGTCTCTGTCCAAGAAAGAATAAACTTGCATTGATCTTCTATTAAGCAGACAAAATGGCTACCATATACAAATCTGCAAAATAACATATAACGTATAGGCCTTTGACATTGATTCCTTTCTGCCCAATAGTTCTGACAGTATTGCTAACTTTAACACCCAGTTCTATCATTTAAAATCAATCTTCAAAGAGTATTGGCCCATAAGAAGGAAAAGGTGTTATCAGTTGTATTACCAAATGCCAACAGTCTAAGGCAATTACTGGTCCTTAATCTCATTCAGCCTTTATAAAGGATTCCTTTCAATAATAGGGTTTTTTTTCTGTACAAAAGGTGTACCACCTGTAGAACCAAAAACCACAATGGGGAAAGACAATTATTTTATTTGTATTGGTAATGGTAAAAACCATATAGGCATATTTATTTTCTGCAGTACAAAGTCTGTCATTTATCTTTTAGAATGCCCATGCATTCACCAAGGTTCTACATATTAGCCTTGGGGAACACATAAATAATATTAGGAAGGGAATGAAAACACATAGTTTATCTTTACACTTTGTGAAACATAACAATAAGGACCCAGACCCAACTAGAATTAAGTTTAAGGGCATTGATAACTAAATGCAAAACCTTTTTTTAGATTAGGATAAAGTGGCAAGGGATTAGAACCACTGTCAAGTTTTTATTGCTGTCTGCGTCCCCAATTGATAGATTTAACCCTATCTAACTGTTCTGATCAGCAATGTCACTGAGAATGAAAGTGAGGGTAAATTCAAAATTTCCAGTTGTCTCCAGAACAGCAATAGGGGGAAAATCTTCCAATGGGACACCTGTTTTCATGACAGCTGTCCAAGAAAGGATATCCCTCACATTAGGAAGATATCCTCTCACTGCCTACTGAGTCTACAGGACAGGACATAAAGGGTTGTCTGGCAAATGCTAAAAATCATTTATGAGGGCCAGAGGCTTTGCCATATCAGATTGGACTAATCCAAATTCTGCAGTGAGTGAAAAAACAGACAAACCCCACTTAAGCATTTTTCACATGTAAAACCCTCTTATTTTATTGTTGCTTGTGTCTGTTTTGTAATATATTTTTCTGTAAATATTTCTTGCACCCTTTGAATTGCAACAGTGCATGCTGTGAATGGTGCATGTCTCCATTAAAACGTTTGAGACCTACTCTGTGGGTCCACAGAGTACGATGCAATGTGTACAAACAACATGAGCAGTCCTTTGAAGCAGGGATCCTAAATAAAGGAACCTAGGGATCCTAAATAAAAATGAAGAAAAATATTTGGTACCTTCTGATTGTAGACTCCCTATTGTGTATTATCTACCGATAATACACAAGGATCCCATTAATCCACCAGGGAGACCAATTGTAATCAGTATAGGATCTATGGGCAGTAGATTGGGGGAATATATTGATTATTTTCTACAGCCCCTAATACAACAAAGTACCATTAATCTCAAGGATAATTAACACTTATTACCAATTTTAGATGGATTAGAATGGGATCAGGATTGTTTTTTGATTACTGTGGATGTAGGTTCATTGTACATAATTATTGAGCATATAGAGGCACTATTAGCGGTTAAATAGCTACTATAAGGGAATGATGGCCTAGATGAACTCCCAAAAGAATTTACTCTGGTAGCCCTTAAGTTTGGCCTAAGTAGAAATTAATTTTGATATGGCAATAAATATTACAGGCGAAAGACAGGTGTGGCAAATACATTTATGTTAAAATGGGAGACTGAGACAGTATTGGAACAGAAACTAGAGATGCTCCTTATTTATAAAAGATTTAGAGACAATATATTTATGGTTTGGAGAGGCCGTAGGGAAGGCCTTGAGAGAGTTCTGGGTAGTCTTAATGACAATAATAAGAATATAGTACTCACCTACCATATACCTCAAATGAAGATACAATTTTTGGACCTTAAAATATTTGTAGAAGAGGGTCGATTATGTCTTATTTTAATGAGACGGACAGAAATGGGTACATTCCGGTGATGAGTTGACATCATCCTTTTTGGTAGGGATGTTCAGATAACAGTTCACATACCAGTGCCGATACTTGGCATTTTCACGAGAACTGCCAGGGTTGCAGAGGTTGCAGCTGGGACCTGGCTCTGGCGCTCCACAACTATTTTGAAATCATTAGTCTGTATCGTTTTAGAAAAACTGTCACATGACACAAAACAAAAATGTATTAAGGGATGCACCAATACCATTTTTTCAAGTACAAGTACTGATACTTGTCCAAGTACTCATAGATACATCTATGAGTACTTGGACAAGTATCAGTACTTGTACTTGAAAAAATGGTATTGGTGCATCCCTTAATAAATATTTATAAAAAATAAATCATACATTAAAACAAGGATGCACTAATCCCAGAAGCTCTGTATGCTCCTTAAAAATGACAGCTGCCTCCTAACTTTTGAATTATTCTCTAGTCTAGTCTTGGAGCTGGAAAAGTATATGTACTTGTACTTGTACCGAGTATGGTACTTGGTATCTGAACATCCCAACTTTTTGGCTACATAGTATACCCAGGGGTCAGTTTCTCAGAATAAGAAGAAATTGCACTAAAGAATCGGATTTCACGAAACAGTCTGATATTTTAAAGAGATGGTTCAAAAAAGATAAGGGGAAGTATTTTTGAATAAGCAGATTGATGAGGTAGGTAGGATACAGAGAGAGGAGATTTTGAGGTATGGGATAAAGGTTGTGGGGTCCTTTTGTAAGAATCTTATATGTGTCCTGGTTTAAAAGCATTCGTTCAATCTCTTATAAAAATACTTTTTATCGAGTACCACTATTGCTCCCCTTTATCAGCTGGCCTAATGACCACTTCTATATTTTATACATGCAATAATGTGCCGAGCTGAAGAAACAATCAAATATAAACAGTGAAATATACAACAATGATTATAGGCTGAACTCAAACCACATAAGATACACAGTGAGATAAAGTCCAAAAAGAATCAAACGATGTGGTGCAGATAACGAATCCCAACAATACGATGCAACGTGTACAAACAACATGGGCAGTCCTCTGAAGCAGACTTAATAGTGTGCAGGACAACAGACTCTTTGATAATCCTTCACCTCCACCAAGTGAATGCACAAATTACAAAGGAGTGCTCACCTGCACAAATTACAAATGAGTGCTCACCTGGGTCTGTGGACCCACAGAGTAGTTCTCAAGCGCGTTATCCTTTCTTCGGAGGGGGAGGCCCGTAGTATCAGTGTAAAATAGATTCTTTCAGGTCATAGATACGCTCATCAGATCCCTAAAGGTGCCCATACACTGCTCGATTCTCGTACGAGAATCGCGGGAAATCCCGCGATCGTACAGATAACACGCTTGAGACCTACTCTGTGGGTCCTATTAAGTCTGCTTCAGAGGACTGCTCATGTTGTTTGTACACGTTGCATCGTATTGTTGGGATTCGTTATCTGCACCACATCGTTTGATTCTTTTTGGACTTTATCTCTCTGTGTATCTTATGTGGTTTGAGTTCTGCCTATAATAATTGTTGTATATTTCACTGTTCATATTTGATTGTTTCTTCAGCTCAGCACATTATTGCATGTATATTTTGTATTATATCAGATATAATTTTAGTGCTTAGTAGCTCCTTTTCACTTTTTTTTGCATCATCACTGGCGCAGATCTTTTTTGTTTATCTGTTTCTCACTTCCTTATTTTGTTCCAACTCCCTTATACCCTTCTTTATATGATATGATATATATCCAGGCTTGACTCTAATTTTCTCCATATCTTGTGGGACCATTTTCTTAAAAACTCCCACAAAGTTGTTAGTACTACTGAGGGGTTAAAAACTGATTTATTAGAGAAATTTGTGTGGATAAAGTTAGCTTCATTGTTTTGATCATTCTTCCCGTAATTGTTTACTGTATTGGATGTACAGTATTTTTTAAGATTCAATTTATGAATGAACTTATGAATCAAGATACACTTTTCAAATGTATTTAATTGCTTGGTCAGGGCATACTTCCACCCTTTATTAAAATACTGACCGCTGCTTTTGACTAAGTGTTGCAGGACTCGCCTCGTAATGGTGTTTCCTTTTTATGCTACTTTTCTACCCTATACGCCCTCTTCCTTCTTGTGCCCACTGTTGTCTTCTTTTTTTATATGTCTTCCACCTTAGTATGGTTGCTATGTATTTAACACGTTCTTAATTTGTATGTTTTTCAGTGATTTAGTTATTTGGGTTTAACTTAGTGTGGCACATGTTGTAAGGGATTGGTTAAAAGATATCATCAAGGTGGTTCTTTAAATGTGCTTACAGTTGAAAACACATATTGGCGCAAAATAATCATTGAGCATGCACTGAAAAGGTTTCCACAAATTTCCTATCCTGGTGGCACAAGGACATGAAGTAATGGAGATCTCTCCAATGAGGACAGTGACAGTAACAAAAACATTTTTTGTAGGTAAGGATTCTAAGAAGGAGTTTGATTCTAAGAATTTATGTGCAAATATTATTTTCGCAGGTCCAGCAATCCCTGTTGGTGTGGATGTACAAGTAGAAAGTCTTGACAGTATTTCTGAAGTTGATATGGTAAGTAAAACCAAATAATGCTGTAAGAATCAAAAGTTCCGCATTTTTCTTCTTGCACATCATGCAATTAACCCCTCATTCATTTACTGTAAATATTGGTCCCTTATTGATTATTTGACTACCCACAGACATCACAATATAGTGGAATGTCTAGGCACCCAAATAACTTTCTGCTGAAGATCTTTCCATAAACAAGCATGTTTTGTGGAATGGGGAAGGAGGGGTAAAGAAGTAACACATGTTAACCATTAGCATATCCCAGGTAAAACAATAGCATTTGGTCAAAAATCATGTGTCTGTGGCATTCCACAGGTGCCCACAGACATGCAATCATCCTGTAAACGGCAGCAGCTTTTAATTTGTGTGGGTGTCCTTTCCTGTTAGTTGCCACACATACTATAGGATTCACATTCAAAGTGATCTGCCACCTGTATTTCTCAATTCATCCACATATTACCACAGAAATAAACTTCAAAATATGCAAACAGTCTCTTCTTTGACAAGTTTCTTGTTTCTTTTTATAGATGGGGCAAAGTGATTTAATACTTATCTAAATACCAATCAATATATTTACCTCTTCTAAAGCCAAATGTCATAGCATGTGGGTTGGGTTATGCATTCCTTCCTTTCTTCCTGGCGGACAGTGGTGAGCTGATGGAGAGATTTTTTATGATAGGGGCACACGGATGCTGAACAGACCCCCACAACCACCGGGCTAGGGTTGTGGGAAAGATGTGGGACAAGGTGCTTCCCCCTCCCCCCCACACTTTTTTTTTCAAAAACTGGCTTGTGTTTTGTGTTCAAATAAAGGACTTTTTCACGGTGTTGTGAATTTATTTACTCTTTTATTTACTATACGTGAATGAGTAGGGGTAACAACTACACCTTACTCATTCACAAGGTAGGTGGGATCTGGGTACCCCTTTTATGAAAGGGGCACCCAGATCCAGATAAGCTCCCAGCCCGCAGACCCACACAACCATTGGCCCAGGGTTATGGGGAAGAGGGCCTTGTCCTCATTGAAATAGGGGCCAGGTGCTTTTCCAGGGGTCCCTCCCGGAAAAGCACCCTCCCAATGTTGAGGGCATGTGTCCTGTTATGGTGCAGGGGTGCCACACGTTCCTCCCCCCCTCTCCTTTTCCTGCTCTGCCAGGCCACTGTCAGGGTCTGGTATGGAATTTTAGGGAGACACAACTTTTTTTCTTTTTTTGGTGTTGGGGTCCCCCTTAAATATCTTACCAGTCCTAAAGGGTCTAGTATGACTTTGCAGGGGAACCCCTCGCTTTTTTGGCGGGGGACATTGGGGTCCCCCTTACATTCCTACCAGACCTAAAAGTTCTAGTATGAATTGGAGAGGGAACACTGTTTTATTTTATTCTATTTTTTTTATAACATTAGAGTGCTTTGGTTCACTTTGGCAGACCATTCTCCCCGCTCCGGCTGTTTTGTTTGGCTTTGCTGAGCCGGAGCATGTTAGCTCAGCTTGGCTGCGTTCGACTGTTTACGTTGGCTCACTTTATATAGCTGCTGTACATGCTATTGAGAATAGCACTGAACCGAAGGGTTTTCTGCAGCCGAAAGATTAGCCGAACATTCGGCTAAATCCTGCGGCTCTTTAGTAAATAACCCCCTAAGTGTTAAGGGTCAGATCAGGGGTTGAGTTCCTGTTGTGGGAAAGGTTAGTTTAAGGCCTAAAGGTCAGATTAAGGTTTAGGTTGTATGATATAATTTGTTCACACTTATTTTTAATGCTGAAATCCATGCACAAAAAGCTACTTCTGATATTTCCCTTTTAAAATAGAAAGAGATTGAGAACTCAAGAGTCCTCAATTTCTTTTTCTGCAGCCCCTGTTATAATTTAACAGGAATACTCTATACTGAGTATTCCTGTCCATTCATAACTTGTGGAGATAGCATGTTTACCATGTCCACAATAATGAATGAACAGGAAGTGATGTAGGTCACTTCCAATTCATTCATAATTGGGGACACAGTAAAAATACTATGTCCTCAATTATTTACAAACACTCAGCAATCACTGAGTGTTTGTACCTGCTCTCCATCCTGACTGGCTATCACAGGAGGCTTAGCGAGCAGTGTGAGGAGGAGAGCTCATCTCCTCTGACAGATGACTCCCACCCCCGCACTGCCGTCCCGTCCTCCGGAGGAGAGTTCCGGTCCCGGCCTCTGGTGACAACTGACATCTGTCCCACACTGCTGCTCTCCTAGTGTGTCACAGGAGGCTGAGCGGTTCGGGAGGAGAGACGATGGCCGCTCACAGCTCTCCTCCCCTGCACCGCTCGGCTTCCTGTGACAGTTTCTCTCCTACCCACTAGGACACAGAGCAGCGCCCAGAGGGGAGGAGAGAAAGTAGGGATGCACCGCTATTTCGGCCAAAAGATGGCACTTTCGGCATTTTGCCAAAAGTGCAATTTTCAGCCGATATGTTTAGGCGGCCAAAATTTCGGTGCATTCCTAAATAGAATATTAATACCCTTGCACGATTACATAAGGAATTAACTAATAATATAATCAACAAACATCAAAAAACAAAAGTCATCTTGCAATTGTTAAAGTGTTTGTCATGTCTAAAACTTTTTTTTTTCTAGTTTTGGATAGTATAGATTAGACAGATTAGAACCCATGTCAGATGTTACTGCTATCTGGAGCTTCATTAGACCTAGGGCTTTCTGACCTGCTGACAATGGTTTCTTCAGACAGAAGGTGAGAAAAAATCTGCAACAAAGATACCAACAGAAATAAAACAATCTGAGAGGGTCTTTACCATTTTCCTACTGTACTAAATCATTTTATTTCTGTATGTGCTGCTGTGGGAGAGTTGTTCTTACTTCCTGTCTGATAAAACATTGTCATCAGAACAGGAAATTAAGGTAAATCTCTCTAACGGAGCAATGGATAGCAGTAAAACCCCTTCTCCCCTCTATCCAAAATTAAGAAAAACATCATGGCTGGACATACAGTTTAACATTTTCTTTCCCTAGGTCTGTGCCTACATAGCCACACAAAGGTAGTTATGCCTCTGTCAAAGCGTTGGTCAAGTCTGTATGTGTAAGAAATGGTTTATCTAATAATATTTATTTAATCAAATGTTCTCAGCCATTTGTTAGTTTCAAGTGTACCCGCAGCCATACCTAAAATCATAAGTCATTTGGTTTCTCAATTCTAAAACTGTATCAGTAATATAAGGAAGTTAAACACGTCTACTGTGTGCATTCACAGCTGGTTGTAAAGTAATTCTAAACTCAGATTTCTTTTTCATCCTGCAGGACTTCACCATGACTCTATATCTTAGACACTATTGGAAAGATGAGAGATTATCTTTTCCCAGTACCAACAACCAAACTATGACCTTTGATGGGAGATTAGTGAAAAAGATATGGGTACCAGACATGTTCTTTGTTCATTCAAAAAGATCTTTCATTCATGACACCACCACAGACAATATCATGCTGCGGGTACAGCCTGATGGGAAGGTGCTATACAGTTTAAGGTAATGTCACACTGAAATATTGTTCCACTTTCTCATTATGTATTGAATTTACAGGACTCTAGTGAGTGTGGTGGCATGGCTATCTATGTTTGTTCGACAACAAAAGGTTTGAAATATCATTTAAACTATTTTTCTTGCTTGGTTTTAAACTTTAAACTATAATAAATATTTAGGTCCACTTTTTAAGAGGTCCACCCCTCCCCAATGAACCAGCACAAAGATCTAAATTAAAGAAGACCTTGCACCTGAAATACAAGGTCCACATTTTAAGGCTGGATTCACTTCACGCTCATTAATTGTACGTGGGTGGATGTGCCCGTAACATGTTTTTTTTTAGAAAATCACAAGTGAACTAATAACTTTTAAATAATATTATGAGACACCATTTTAATTCATTTTTTCGTATTTATTCAATGTATTGACTTGCATGAGGGCCCACAGTACTGTAGATTCCGATATATAATAATTTTTGCACATTGGATTTATGCACCAGCACTTTATTCATTTATTTTATATACTATGAGGGTTCAAAGCAGTGCAGATATATAAATACATTTTACACAGTGGTGTGATGCACTTTAATAACTGTAGCCGTTGTAGTAATTTGATAGGACAGGATTGTACAGCTCTTCAGATATTAAATTATATAGACATACTATTTTTTCCCCTGTAACTTTTTTCAATGTTTATGCTGCTTTTTAGCAAGGTGAAGGGGAACTTAAAAAGTGGGCCTTGCATTTCAGGTGCAAAATCTGCTTTAATTTACATCTTTGTGCTGATAAAGTACTTTGTGGCAAACAATAGGTCATATCCCACCACTGCCACTAATATGTGACTAACGGCAGGTTTATTATGGATATTTATATAGCGCACCCAATTTACAAAGCGTGCACATTCACATCAGTCCCTGTCCTCATGGAGCTTACTATCTAAGGTCCCACATCTCACATGCATACATACATGGCCATGTTAGACAGGAGCCAATTAACCTACCAGCATGTCTTTTTGGAGCGTGGGAGGAGTACCCAGAGGAAACCCACGCAAGCACAGGGAGAACATGCAAACCCCTTTCAGATAGTGTCCTGACTGGACTCCCCAGTAATGCAAGGCAGAAGTACTAACCACTAAACCAATGTGCCGCCCACCATGCTGCCACCAATATGTGAAGATAACGCTCTCAGCCTAGGGTTGCCACCTGTCCAGGATTCACCCGAACAGTTCGGGTTTGGAATGCTGTGTCCAGGTTTCATGGCAGCAGAAACCCAGACACAAGATGTCAGGCAGACAGGGGCAACCAAAATGAAGATAGGGGCTACTGACCCCCCACTGAAAATAGTCTTAACTGTGATAGTTATATATGAATTGGCGCCAATTTTTATATATGAATAAGCCGTGACTCATTCTCCCAAAAAAATGTCCACGCGCCGATTGAGTGTTCGGGTTTCGCTTGAAGAAAAGGTGGCAACCCTATCTCAGCCTCACCCTGCACAGAGATTTTCCAGCTCGGGAGACAACAATCTTATTGATTGTAAAAGTTATTGAGCTTACTAAATAACAATGTACAGGTATAACTCAATCAGATTATTGTTTTTAGTTAACAGTGCATACTCATTGTAAAATAAAATCTCTGATTGGTTGGAGTTTGCTTTTTATCTAAAGAGTTAAACATGAAATCCCCGTTCATACCACACGATGCCATAACACGTGTGAACATATGTTCGTGTGCATTTTGTATTGCCTTTGATGTGCATCGCCCATTCATTTCAATAGGTGCCATAAGCAACTCGGCAAAGTAGCTCATGCAGCATTTTCCGCTGCAAGTGTCCTGCGTTTTTTTGCACACACGTTTGTGCGCATTTGACACACATTTTACCAGCCATGGCAAGTGCGACGTATGTTTTCAACGTGTTCTGTGAATGCGCATAAAAGCGGGCACTTTTGTGCACTTTTTAAAATATTACAGACCAGACAGCACAGCCATGTCAGGCTTTCTCTACTAAAGTTAGGCAATATAGCCCCCAGCCTGTGACTGGACTGAAGATGAGCTCATTCTGCTGTTTCGTTTTATTAGAATGTTCTGTGTCAGATCATGTGCTGTACACCTGATTTTATGCTAATGCTTGGACTAGGGGATCCTTCCTCCCCTAGTCCAAGCACTACTGTACAGGGTTTTACAAGAGCCTAGCTCAAGTCAAACTCAGGTGCTTACATTAGCTGCATTTAAAAATACATTTATGGTACCTGACTCCACAACGCTTATCTAGAATGTGTCCCTCCTCTTCTCCCCTGTGTTGGAGGGGCTGAAGACAAATGGTTAGTTTATATGATATTCTTTGCACCTGTCACTACCTGCAAAGCTACTGGTGTAATGTGTTCCAAAAAATATCAAATGTTACAGGGATAATAACCGCTCTTTCTCCAGAACTAGCAATTTTGTCCCTAGGGATTGAACACTTCCCCAAGTCTGTTTGCATTAATATAGTTATTCATATTTTGTAGGCAGCCAAGTTAACTATAGTACACCACTGGAAGAGTTCAGATTCCCCTCACTAGCTGAGACACTTTCGATAGTCAAACTTCATCACTACTACTAAAGAATAATGTCCTTTAGGGAAGAAACTACAGTCCATTTTGATGCCAAATGGAATTTATGAGTACTATGGTCTCATCCTTCTTGATGTTCCTTTACTCATGTGATATCCATATACATCAACATGCTTGGCTATGTTATGTTCTCTTTTTCTTTGTTAATTGTATTTTATTTTTTTTATACATTTATGTTGCTGGACTGTTTTTTTCTTCATTTCCTTTGTTGCTGTAATTTATATTTTTGCAAAACCTTAATAAAAACTATTAAAGTAAAAAAAAATACATTTAAACATTTTTAATGAACACATAGCTGCATTACTTTTATCTTTTACCGTATATCTACCTGGAATTCAGTAATAAAAGCAGGATACATAAACCAGTAAAACAGTAACAAGACTTAAAAAATGAATGAGGTAAATGAAGTTACAGAAAAGCAGTGAAATGCTAAGGGAAATTAAACATAAGTGGAATTTTATAGATAGGTGGAGACGGGAGAAATCGAAATGTCAATGACAAAGCTGGAAAATTTTCTGTTTCACCCCTTTGTTAATGGAGCCTTATGATTTGTATTATGTGTAACAATAAATTATTCCTTTTATTCTTATACAATAGAGTTACAGTCACAGCTATGTGTAACATGGACTTCAGCCGATTTCCCCTGGACACACAATCTTGCTCCTTGGAAATTGAAAGTTGTAAGTATAAGTCCTATCAGTATAGTTATTTAGTTCAAGCTTACGCCCACTTAAAAGGAAACTATAATTTGGTCAGTTTTATGTAAATTTGTTTTGTAAACTGATGTTATAACATGTGTTTTTTTTATTACAAACATATACAGTGGGCCCCCCATGTCTTTGCTTTCACATTCAGGGCTTTCTAAAGGGGTAACCCAGTAACTTAGAGGTTAGTGCTTCTGCCTTGCAGCGCCTGGTTCAAATCCCACTTAGGACACTATCTGCAAGGAGTTACGTGCTTACATGGGTTTCCTTTGGTACCCTTGTTTCCTCTCACACTCCAAAGACATGTTGGCAGGTTCATTGGCTCCTGTCCAAATTGGCCCTGTGTGCATGTAAGATTGGGACCTTAGATTGTAAGCCCCTCAAAGGCACAGACTGATGTGCATGTGCATTATGCTAAAGCACACCAAACATTTCCTGTACTATATACATAATAATAATAATAATAAAGAAATGGCTTGATGGTTTAAAAAAGAATTGATGCTGGATGATCATATTGGTAACTTGTGTGAGGACACTACAAGTGTCAGCAGTTCCTGTCCAATATGCATTAATCCTGGTGTTCTGTGTGTGAGGGAACTACAAGTGTCAGTGGTACATGCTGTCCCTGCTGACTGGTAGTGGTATATTTTAATGTTGCATCTCCCTATTTACATATAGAGAGATGTATATCCATGGATATCTATATATTTATATAGTGACATGCATATTCGTACACATATATGCATGTTGATGCACGTGTGTGGATATGCATATCCACACACATGAATATATCCGCGTATAGCTATGCATATATCTATGCATATAATGCACAAATATATATGCATACAGTGCATGTCCATTAGCAAGCATATATCTGAATGGAGACGCATAACCAACCACGTATATGTATTTTGATGCACATCCATGCAGATATTTTCTTGTTAATACATGTGCATGGATACTAATATCCATGCAGATGTATGCATGTGCATGGATATGTATCAATGTGCATGGATATGCATGTTCATGCACGTGAATGAATACGCATATCCATGCAAAGGGATATGTGTGCATGGATATGCATGTTGATGCACATGAATAAATATGCATATCCATGCAAAGGAATATGCATTTCCATGCACATGCATTGATTTGCATATCCATACAGATATATGCATGTTAATGCACATGCATGGATGTGCACATCTATGTACGTGCATCAACATGCATATTCGTCCACATGCATAATATGTATATTTGTATATCTATAACAGTATGTGCATATCTATAAATGCATTTATGCATGCATAGATATTTGTAGGCATAAATATGCATTTCTATATGCATGCATACATATGTAGATATGGATGTAGATACAGTAAACTACCAGTTATCTGGCACCCATGGGGATTGGTACGTACCCGCTAACTGTAGTTTCTGGTTGCTTGAGAGTTAATAGTGACTCTGAAGCAACCACCGGCACCCTGCTTCCCCCCACAGCTCCATTCACCTGCTGGGTAGCTTCTACAGCTGACAGTCAAATGGGTTTCAATAGCCTGCCTGCTATTGGCTATTGCAAATTGAAATAGCCAATAGCAGGCTGGCTATTAAAGCCCCGCCCACTTTGTTGTGCATTCTTACATGAATTTTTTTGCCAAAAGCTATAGATATTATTAGTGTTTAACAGGGAGGTTTAATGTATGTGTATATATATATATATATATATTTAGAAATCATACATACATATCCATAGCTGCCTACCATCAGATTGTGGGTTTTGCAAATTGACAGCAGGTGAGGATAAATTGTTGACCAAATAAAAAGCAACTATTACTATCATTGGCCAGTTCAACATACTAGTGTCCTAGTGTACTAGTACTAGTGTACTAGTTAGGCTGGCTTCACACCTTTCACAATTACTGCAATGCATGGTACCACACCGTGCACATATTAGCATGTTGCAGTGCCATTCTACATAACGCACTTAGGCAACACATGGTAATATACTTCCATGCATTGTGGTGTGCCGCATCAAGAAAAATAGTTCAGGTGTGGTTTTGAATGTCAAATAAATGGACTTCCTTAATGCAACGCATGTTAATGCTCAACATAACACGTGTTAACGCAACACACATATGTGAATGTGGCCTTAAATTTACTTCTTATCATAATTATGTTAACTTGAATGTCTATATCCTGGGCAGATATTAACTTTAAGCAGTTCTAACGTCAGCATGCAACTTGAATGAAATTCTGCACACTTATAAATTGAAGCTGCATTGTTTGTCATTCTCCTGTTAAGTGTTGACTTTTTTTGCGCAAACAATATATCAGGTTCTATATTCCTGCTTGGCTGTATAAAGGACTTTGCAGAACAGGATGACTCAGATTTGCTTAGCTGTATTACAGTTTTTATGCTCTTAAATCTTCAGATGCCTACACAGAGGACGACCTCATGCTCTACTGGAAGAATGGCAATGAATCTTTAAAAACAGATGAAAGAATTTCTCTCTCACAGTTTCTAATTCAAGAATTTCATACCACCTCAAGACTTGCTTTCTACAGTAGCACAGGTAACTCTTCTGAGAAATGCAGTAATGTTAGATGAATTATGGATTATGGAAGGAAAACAAGAAAAAGGTTTTTTTTCTGGTAGTTGACAGCATTTTAACTCAAGCTCTAATTTAAAGGAAAATAGTCACAAATCTGTGCCAGTCAAAATTAACACATGGTAAAACAAATGTGGAAGTTACAAAATACTGGGAGGTAGGGATTTGGGCAAAGTGGACATGCGAAGTATCTTCTGCCCCCAAAAAATGCTTCTTCTCTCCCCCAACATTTTTTCAAATGTTCTGTGTAGACTGTGCAGTCCATGCGCCATGCAGTGTACACACTCAGCCCATTCATGGCATCTTCAAGATGCTGTGAATGGGCCTGATGCTGAGGAGAATGCATGCACAGGAGTTACATCATCAGTGGCCACCCAATGGCCAAAGAGGATGCCTGGGAACCCAGAAGTGTCAGTGGCGGAGATGGTGGTGGGGGACAGAGCGGGAGACTCAGGGCCGGCCTTAGGCCTTTAGGCGCCCTGTGCGAGAACTCGCACACCCCTAAGGGGAGACTAAAGATCTATCTGACAGCACTGGAGTAGGGCACACTTGTAAAGTTAGTGTGTCCTAAAGTGCAAGTATGCTGTGCAGCACTTTACAAGCACTTTAAGCCACATATGAAACAATCAGTAGTTAGAGATATATAGACATCTAAAGTTATATTCAAATCTTAACTTTTCCTGCAGATGTTCAACTTGGCCCAACCCCTTTTATCTTCTATGCCTACCAGCTAAAACAAAATAATTACAAAATTCAACAAATACATTTCATTTCATAGACGGATATAAGATGAACTCAGAAAAGCTATATTCTTCGATATCTAATATTACTAGATTGCATTTAGCTTCTTAGACAGTTGAAAGCAATGTAGTTTATGGATACTTAGACAAACTGAAGTTGGGTTTGTTAAGTGTATTGTTTTTTTTTTTAGATGTTTCAGATTAACTAGCTTCAGTGGTCTTCAAAATGGCCTGCAATTGAATGACTTTTGTGCCTAAAGTCTTGTACTAATGTATGTAATGTACTAATGTAGCACTCCCAAAAGTGTTGACTTCGGCAAGTATGTAGGTACAGCTTCTACTTGAGTCTGGTGACATCCTTAGAATCCTATGACACAGTGAAGAGACAGTTGTAAATAACATGCAACTTAATTGAGTGGGTGCATGCTGAAAATGAGATAAATGGTTAATGCAAACACAACACAAGTTCAAGTGGAATGACAGCATTGACATTAGAACATCAACAAATGTAATTTACTTTGCCCTATCTAGCTATGCTAACTGTAATATTAGTCCCAAACTTGCCCAGTGGTGAGCTCATTGGTCTGCATTGGGGCTCTAAATAATTGTGTAGTAAGGGCTCTCGCTTGGCCCCATACAATGCAAAACTAACTAATTGAAAAAGCTGTATGCGGCTATAGGCTTGATTTGTGTAAACATATGTATGCATCAAAATGTACAATGCTGGATACAGACAGTCTGAATCCAGGGGCTCCAGCTTCCCTGAGCTGTCCTCTAAGCACTGAACAACAGGCATTGACCAGGAGAATCTAGTAGGTTATCTCTAGTAACCAGGACCAGGAGAATCTAGTAGGTTAAAATGTTTTTGGCACCTAGAAAAAAAGCGAGCAGTTAACCCTTGCAGTGCGGGGGTAGCTCCACTGCAAGGGTTAATAACATTTTTGCCCAGAGTTCTTCTTTATAAATCTTTATAAATCTCTTTATACAAAAGATATGATGCTTCTCTTGTTATTAAAATATTAGGTGCATGGCCCACATTAGCATTAGTTTAGCCCCCTAGTATACCAGTCCCTCCATTTATTACTTTGGTACCTAGTCTCCTTTTATTATTTGTGTCAGATATGCTGGTTTATGTAGTTTGCTCACTAATGTGTGCAGATTTTGTCAATGTACAGCCAAAACTGTGGATGTATGTTGTTTTGAGACAAAGGAATAATAATCTTGTTATGACACAGGGTGGTACAATCGGCTGTATATTAATTTCACACTGAGACGTCACATCTTCTTCTTTCTGCTACAAACATATTTCCCTGCAACTCTTATGGTCATGCTGTCCTGGGTCTCATTCTGGATAGATCGCAGAGCCGTACCTGCCAGAGTTCCTCTAGGTAAGATTATACTGTATACTTACAAGAGCACTTTGTAAAGCTATGCGCATTACTGCTATGAAGTCCGAGATGTCCTTTGTGTCCTTATTCTAATTATTATCTTTCAGTGAAATCTTTTAGAGCTATGGGTCGAACTCCCTAAAAAATCTATTCCAGACATATAGAACTGTTTATGTCTGTGCCTATTGTACTTGGAAGTCTGTGGGGGTCATGCTGTGGGGAGATGAGCAGAGGCGCAAGTTAAGTCTATGGACGCGTGCACCCGCATGCAGACACCGTGGGATCAGAAGGGCCTGCAAACAGCGAGGAGTCAGTGCTGGATCGGAGAGCCGCCGCACCGCTGGAGGGACAGATGAAAACATCAGGAAAGAAGAAGATCGGATTAAGAGACATCATTTAAGGTAAGTGCTGACATTAACATTGGGGGGAGGGGAAAAAAAATATCCTTTAATGTCACTTTAAGTTGCTGATGCAGAATTTAGCCATACATGTCCAGAGGTGGCCAGAGCATGGAAATCAAAATAAGGAAATAGCACAGTTTGTCAGCTATGAGGCTGGGCACTGCCTCTTCTAACCCTGATGCCCTAAGCACTGGCCTACCAGTGCCATTATAATTAATACAGCTATTGTCAAATACAACCTAAAAGGACAATTCCATTTTCTACAAAAAAAGAGAACTACAGGCAGTCCCTGGGTTACGGACAATCCGTACTTAAGAACCAGGTCCACAGTTCTCCTAAATGTACCGGCAGATACCGGTACATTTAGGAGAACTGTGGCTGCAGCGGCCTGTGTCCCTTCAAATCTCCACTGCACTCTGTGCCTGTGTTGGCGGAGACAGCGGGGACACAGACCGCTGCATGCCTTCGCTGCTCCCCGTACCTCCGCTGCTCCCCGTTGCTTCTTCTCCGATCTGGTCCTCTGCCCCACCCCCCTGCCTCCTCTTCATTGCAGGCTGGGAGCCATACCCAGCCTGCTATTGGATATATTAAAATGCAGCCGGCTATTGCGATTTGAAATATCCAATAGCAGGCTGGCTATTGCTGCCAGCATTAAAATAAAAAAAGTTTTAAAAAATAAACAAAATTAAATTAAAAATACAAAAAAATGTAAAAAAAAGTTTAAAAAGTAAAATAACTAAAAATTAAAAATGCAAACAAACAAAAAATAAAGTTTATAAAATAAAATAAAAAATTTGAAAAAACTTTTTTTGGTGTGTCATTTTAATTAAAAAATGTTTTATCTTCTGAACAACAGGAACAGACAGCAAAACAAATGTGACCCTTCCCTATGCTATCCAAAAATAAAAAATATTTTTTTGGCTGGAGTTACACTTAAAAAATTTACCTGTTCCGACTTACATACAAATTCAACTCAAGTACAAACCTAAAGTCCCTATCTTGTATGTAACCCGGGGACTGTCTGTATTGATGATCTGTCACATGCTGGAAAATTCTATGTGCATTAACAAGGCTTTCTAATGCACTCAATGCAAAAACAAGCCTTGACAGTTAGCACTTGGAATGGCTTGCAGTACTGAGCTTTGTAAGGCCCTCTTTTATTGAAATCCCAGTAATGTTCATAACTGATGTATGATACTATGATGATTGTGGAAGAGGGTAAGCCACCAAGGTAAAAGAACATAAAAAATGCAGAAGCGCACTACCAAGTAGTGACTGAGCAGGAGAAAATAATCGAATGAGACTTACCAGGGTGTGGGTGATAGCGCGTTGTCAGCGGTGAGGTCTGGATGAAGGGTTGCTGGTGGTGGTGGGCAGGCTAATGTGTAAATCGTTGGTGCTGGAAAGACTACGATGTCAAAAGGGGAATTGGGTCCGACGTTTAATGTGGCTGGGATCTGAGGGGGCGGCTCGGGTTTGGGAGAAAAAAATATGGCTGTTTGAATAAATATGGCTGAAATATGGCTGTTTTGAACAAAGAGAAAGAAAATTACAACACATTATATCAAAAATTGATGACTTAAAAACCCACAAGTTCACCAAGGTAAAAGAAAATGGTAAAAAATGCCACTAGTACAATTACTTTTAAGAAAGTATTCTTGTGAGAGAGAAGCAAAAATCTACATGCCTAATATATTGTACTTAATGCTTTGCATTGCTTTGTACACAAATTGAGAGATTTACAGTTGATTTCACTTAATGTATTCATATATCTGTTCTTTTCCTAGGAATAACTACAGTGCTGACCATGTCAACCATCATTACTGGAGTAAACGCCTCCATGCCCCGAGTATCATACATTAAAGCTGTTGATATATACCTTTGGGTTAGTTTTGTGTTTGTTTTTCTATCGGTGCTGGAATATGCTGCTGTCAATTACCTGACTACAGTGCAAGAGAGAAAAGAGAGGAAGCTGAGAGAAAAGGTAAATATCCTATTGGTACTGTATAAAAATGTAAGCAGTCCTTAGAATATAGAGGACAACCAAAAAAAAAAACGTGTTCATAAAAAAGAATTGCAAAAAATAAGTAGCCAGCACACCCTTCATACGTTCCCTCCAGGAATCTAAGCCGGGTGCAAGATCATTGAGTTCCTATGCACATGCAAAGCTGATTCAAAAAGAGATGATCAGAACACCATGATTTTTCTTTTTTAAATTGTCAGTGATAATGATCTTAATGCACAGTTTACCATAGGAGGTGATAGGAGTAAAATAATTTGTTTCTATATAACTTTGGAGGGAGATGAAACAACAATGCTAGGGTTGTTACTATAGCATATCACACACCTTCTGTGGGTAATACCCTGTTAATCCCTATGGGTATGTTTATGAGAGTAAAAAGAAACACTTTGGAAACATATGAGACCCAAAAAAAAAGAGAAACAGCCGGTACTGGCTGTTACATACAAATGTTCGGCCCACTCTACAGCCGGCTGATCGCTTGTATGACTACATGCAGTGTGCGCCCCCTCCATTGCCGCGCTCCCGCCCTCTGCTGCCGCTTATCCTGGGCTCTGCTGTCCCCCTGCGTGCGTGGGACTGGCACAGCAGCTGCCTATGGGGAGAACAGAGTAGAGATCAGGATTCCCCCACTGCTGATCTCTCCTTCTCTCTCTCTCTAAAGGCGGAAGTGATGTGCATTACATCACTTCTGCCTTTAGCTGTCGTTTCTCTGGCTGCTATAGCCATAGAAGAAGCTGGTGACCCCTGATGTCTCCATAAAGAGGACCTATCATTGTATATTAGCTATCACATAGGGGGCTTGTTATATATTAAAAAAAATATATTAAAGTCTCATATTAAAAAAAAAGAGAAAAAAATGTAAGGCCCCTGCCCCCGCTTGCACGCACATATAAACGTAAATACGCGTTGGGTGCGCCTACATGCAAAAATAACGATTACGCCACACATGTTACATATCGCCACAAACGTGGGAGAGCAAACATTCTAGGGCCATTAATCACTGATAAAACTAAACGGATGAGCGGTAAAAGCTTTTAAAGCATTGCCTAAGGCCAATTTTAGGCATGATAGTTTTTAGCGATTTCGCAGGTGCACAGAATTTCAAAGTTTGATGTGTTTGGTGTCGATTTACCCGACGTGACCCCATCTTTAATATTTTACAAAAAAATTGGTAACGGTAAATGTTTTATAACATAAAGTAGGGAAAACTGTTTTTGTGGTTTTTTTTACATCTTCTGAACTTTTTTTCATTATACAGTAAAAAAAAAAGTGGTGATTAAATACCATCAAAAGAAAGCCTAAAAAATTGTATAAATTTCATTTCAGTACAGCGTTGCATGACAGAATAATTGTCAAAGTACCGCAGCGCTGAATACTGAAAAATAGCCTGGACAGGAAGGGGGTTTAACACCACGGTCAGCAGGTGTGTAAGGTTGCACAGCACATAATCATTGAAAAGTGGATAAAGCTTCTTCAAAAGCAATGCGAAAAGTCCATAAACTAAATGCCTACATTGGATTATATGTAAGAGGAAAAGTAAACTTACTTGCTTACTTTAGTTGCTTTAAACTGAATTACTAAAGCAGTTCAATGTGGTAAACAATTGGGCAGCTTGCCAACCTGCAGAAGGCAAGTGTAGAGATCCATTGATTTTGCCTGTGCAAAATATTTTGCTGGATTATGCACAAAGTTTAAATTAAATATGTAATTAATGTTTTAAAGTATATTTATTTATTTATGAGAAAATTGTACATGTTCCCTCAGTTTCCATTAGGAACAAATCTTAAATCAATTTTGTAAATATGTCCCACATCCCATAGTCTTTGGTTGGCCTTACTTGCTCGTACATTCAGGCTGATTATCATTTATTTTTCTCTAAGCTTCCTTGTACGTGTGGGGTTCCACAACCACGACCAACGATGGACAGCAGCTACAGTGATGGAGAGGTAAACAATTTGGGTGGTTTTGTTTGCGAAAATGGTGAAAAAGATGACCGGATTATGGTACAGCTGGCACTCAGCACAGAGAGGAACTCGAACAGAAGGAAGAGCCAGCGTGCTTACGTCAGCATGCGTATTGACACCCACGCTATTGACAAATATTCAAGAATAATATTCCCTGCAGCATATATTCTATTTAATGTCATCTACTGGTCAATTTTCTCCTAGAGACACCTGACTTGCCAACAGACTTCAATCCCGGGATCTGGCCGAACTGTATTATACAAATCACTGAGGTTTACCAGCAAACATGTTCATTTTTATACATTTTCATTCATTATTGTCCATTGTTTATTTTATTAAACATGTGTATTGTGTCTGTACCTGATTTTTTTATGTAGTTTTTGCATTTTGTTGTTTTTTTAATTGATCTTTGTGTCTATTTTCTAAATGGTAGGAAATAAACCAAATTACAGGTCTGTGGGCATTTATAGTAGAGCTATACAGTACACTTTGTGATAAGTTGCTTACAGACCTGCTCACTGTCCAACAGTTTTTTGCATCTGACGATAAAAGGACTCATGTTTACTGTTTTGATCTGGGCTGTTACTCTCATGTAAATATCAAAAACAACATCCTACAGCTGAGCAACAAAACCTGTTCTTTTGTAAAGGAAAGCATATCTCTTCTGGGGTTTGCGACATCAGAATAACAAAGAGGGAACCAGACTGCAAAAACCTATTATTTTATAGGTAAACAAATGTCTTTGTGATGGTTTTGATTTTTCATCCACTTTGTTAAAGCTGAACTCTGGGCAAACAGCTAAATACACCAATGAAACACAAATAAGGAAGCTGTTTACCTGCCAAAGGATTTGTATTACTGTGCATTCAGTCCTGGGATTGGAGAGCCCTACCACACAGCACAGCCAAGAGAATGATACCCCCTACAGTTAAGGACTACTGTGGTGTTCTCTCTCCACGTCAGCCTTATGAATGGACAGTGAAAGAGTAGCAGTAGACTTATTAAGTTATTCCTCTGCTTACTTCTCCTATCAGCATGTTCCTTTTCAACTCATTTGCATGCATTAGACCTGATTGCCTCCCAATGCTGCCCCTACCTCTGTCAGTCTGAGTGCTGCTGTAAAAGGGATTGCAAGAGGCTGATGCCATGTCAGGTTGATGTACTTGCACAAGTTAAATTCAAAAATACATTTTGTGATTAAATAATTAATACAAAACTGCATTCATTTGCCTTTTATATCTACCTGGAGTTTAGATTTTATAGTGAAATTGATTTCAATCTATTATCATTTAAAAGGTATGTTTCATGTGATGTAATTCCTTAGATTAGGGCCATTTACATACAGTTATTACATCCCTAGTGAACTTTCCTGATATCAGGACCTCGTTTGAGCACATTATTTTAGATCTGATTGCCTCTGATCAGGTGTTGACCCGCATCATAAATATACAGAGCATGTTTGCTGCCCCAAGCAATTACACTTTCAAGCACATACCATATACACTTGCCAAAAGTATTGGGACACCCCTCCAAATCATTGGATTCAGGTGTTCCAATCACCTCCATGGCCACAGGTTTTTACAATCAAGCACTTAGGCATGCAGACGCTTCTACAAACATTTGTGAAGGTATGGGCGCTCTCAGCTCAGTGAATTCAAACGTGTTACCGTGATAGGTTGCCACTTGTACAATAAGTCCATCCAGGAAATTTCCTTGCTACTAAATATTCCACGGTCAACTGTTAGTGGTATTATAACAAAGTGGAAGCAACTGGGAACAACAGCAACTCAGCCACGAAGTGGTAGACCACATAAAATGACAGAGCGGGGTCAGTGCATGCTGAAGCACACAGTGCGCAGAAGTTGGCAACTGTCTGCAGAGTCAATAGTTACAGACCTCCAAACTTCATGTGGCCTTTAGATTGGCACAACAGTGTGTAGAGAGCTTCAAGGAATGGGTTTCCATGGCTGAGCAGCTGCATCCAAGCCTTACATCACCAAGTGCAATGCAAAGCGTCGGATGCAGTGGTGTAAAGCATGCCACCACTGGACTCTAGAGAAGTGGACACGTGTTCTCCGGAGTGAGGAATCAGGCTTCTCTGTCTGGCAATCCAATGGATGTGTCTGGGTTTGGCATTAGCAGGAGAAAGTTACTTGCCTGACTGCATTGTGCCAAGTGTAAAGTTTGATGGAGGGGGGATTATGGTATGGGGTTGTTTTTCAGGGGTGGGGCTTGGCCCCTTAGTTCCAGTAAAAGGAACTCTTAATGCATCAGCACACCAAGACATTTTGGACAATTTCATGCTCCCAACTTTGTGGGAACAGTTTGGGGATGGCCCCTTCCTGTTCCACCAGTGCACAAAGCAAGATCTAAAAAAAGACATGGATGAGCGAGTTTGGGTTGGAGGAACCTGACTGGCCTGCAGAGAGTCCTGACCTCAACCCAATAGAATACCTTTGGAATGAAATAGAGCGGAGACTGTGAGCCAGGCCTTCTCGTTCAACATCAGTACCTGACCTCACAAATGCGCTTCTGGAAGAATGATCAAACATTCCCATAGACACACTCCTAAACCTTGTGGACAGCCTTCCCAGAAGAGTTGAAGCTGTTATAGCGGCAAAGGGTGGGCCAACTCAATATTGAACCCTACGGACTAAGACTGTGATGCCATTAAAGTTCATCTGCGTGTAAAGGCAGGTGTCCCAATACTTTTGGCAATATAGTGTATATTTTTACTGCTTCTGCACAACTTTTCTACACACAAGGGAGAGGAGTGGCACAAAGGGTTTAAGAAATAAATTCAGCTCCTGGGTTTCAAAAACATTATAGAACATTTTTTTCCCCTTAAGCAGCAAAGAAATCCCAACAAATGGAGCTTGTCTAATGAATAGATAACAATTATATACATTGTAGTAAATTTTAATGATTGTAGAAAAATGCAAAACTAGAAACACACTGCACAAACATTTAAAATCTTAAAATAACTGCAGCTTCCCTACAACAGTTTAATAGGCAGATACAGTATATCAGGTGGTGGTTATTTGATAATCCACGGTGGGTGGCGAGTAGTTACTTGTATGTGAGTCAGGTTTAGAAGGGTAAATCAGATACAATTGTATCCCTGTATATAGAAGTTACTCACTTTTAATTTGTTGTTTAGAATGTAGCGATTCAAACTGAGTCCCGTGCTGGATTGAAAGTGAGTAACTTCTATATACAGGGATACAATTGTATCTGATTTACCCTTCTAAACATGACTCACATACAAGTAACTACTCGCCACCCACCGTGGTTTATCAAATAACCACCACCTGATATACTGTATCTGCCTTTTAAGCTGTTGTAGGGAAGCTGCAGTTATTTTAAGATTTTAAATGTTTGTGCAGTGTGTTTCTAGTTTTGTATTTTTCTACAATCATTAAAATTTACTACGATTTATATAATTGTTATCTATTCATTTGACAAGCTCCATTTGTTGGGATTTCTTTGCTGCTTAAGGGAAATTTTTTCTTTCTATTCTGCACAACTTTCTCTGTGTAAATTGGTCAGAGTCACTGAATATTATGTTGGTCAAGATATGCTGTTGCTTGTCATCAAGCCTCATATAGCAGATTTGAATTGCATACACAAAGTTTGAATCAATGCATGACCTTTATCAACCTCAGCATTCATATGACAATCACATATGGTAAGATCTGAAACTGACCCCGTCAGTTAGGCACGAGGCCAAGAATGGTTGTATATGTTGATCAGAATGTCAAGATTTATAGCTTTGCAAATGTGTCTTTCTAAGCCAAATGGCTATGCAAATTCTGTAACATTTAATAAAATGTGATTCACTTCTGATTTCATAAATAAATACGGACCTCATTTGGAAAAGGTCAAAAATTGTTGTCCTTCAATTATGTCTTACATCATTACAGTACAAATATAACCCTTGAAATAATCAAATGGTATTATTATAATGCGTTAATGAGGATAATTAAAATGCTAAATGTGTGAAATTTTAGTGTGGCAGCATTCTGCTTCAGGGTAGAAGGTGCAGAAATTCCAGGGATGGACCAACGCAGGTATTTATGTTGTGGCAGCAATTAACTAAAGATGGCTTATTTTATTCTCTGTGGAATTGTAAAAGGAAAAACAGCTGTATTGGCTAATCTTTTTATAAACAATAAATTCAAAGCCATTCTTCAAGCAAATATTAAATTCTAACATTTAAATCAGGTAGTTTATTGCAGCTCCTTCTATTTTTTTTTTGCACAACGGGGCCGAGACTGAAAAAGGAAGGGACAGTGCTCTTTGCCAGTAAGGTACTAATGCATTGTGCAGTGCTAGCAATCTAAAGGTGCCCATACACCTGCCGATTATCGTACGATAATCGCGGGAAATCCCGCGATCGTAGATAATCGGCACGTGTATGGAAGGCGTGCTGTACGGTCGCACGTCTTTTGTCTCCCGAGCAGGCTTGAAAACCCGCAGAGAATCGTACAATTGTCGGCGGGTTAGTGGCGTTTTTCGGGAGACAAATGCCGCACGGGCCGGTGTGCGCAAGCGCCCACTGCCCGTGCGGCATTGCAGTCATCGGAAAGCCCGTCCCTCAGCGGGGCGGGCTTGCGATGATCGCAAGTACGATCTGCCTGTCCAAGATGGGCAGATCGTACGTTTTTTTAATTACCTTACAACCAGCGCCCAACTTTTTTTTGCCATAGTCCTCTTTAGGGTCACAGGAGGGCATTTACTAATGTCTTCCTGTGACTCAAAACTCAGCATATAGCGGGCTATTGAGCGAGCGGCGGTTTCTGATCGCTCAGTTCTCGATCTATAGAGCCGATGTGTGACAGCTGCAATGTTGGCTCTAATTATGGGGATGAGTGTATTTCACTCTCCCCATAATTCTCCTTTAACTGCAGTGAAGAAAGGTAACATTAAGAAGCTGTTTATAAAATAATAGGTAAAGGCATATCAGAGTAACAAGTTTTCTTTTCAACATAATTTTATTGATTTTCAGGAAACAATATACAAATAAAATGTATGATGCCGAAGTATTAAATGCTAACATTTTTCATTGTAAAAAAAAAGACATTCATATTTCAATGTTCATATTTCACATTTTATAAAATTCTATAGCTCAAAACACAATCCAAATAGATTAAATGCTGGTCTTTAGAATATATGTATCCTGTGGACATTACTGAAGAACATACATTGCAATTAATATGTAAAGAAATTGGAAGTAAAAATAACAGTATATCCAGCAGATAACCTGTTATAAAATGTGTGAACCCCAACCCAGGTAAAACAGCATCTGTCTTTTGAACCTCCAGTTAGGTGCTAATCTACTTAACATCATCTTTTATGTCACATACAGCTATATCTTACAGCTAAACTCTGGAATTATGAAAAAAATAAACTACCCTTACAGTGGGGCTCCCCCTGGCAGTCGGGCATTCACCTCTTCTCCCTCCAACGCTTCTGCTTGTGGGTGGGCCATTGGGGTCCTTACTTACAATGCAGGACTGAAGGACTTGCATGGTACAGGATGACATCATAGCTGTGACTGTCAGCTGGAGTGCCAAGGAAAAGAAGCTGAGGGGAACAGTCACATGAAAGGAGGAGCCTGCAGGATCGAGGGATAAGTTAAATAAATGTGATATATAATGGTCAAGAATTTACCCACTGCAAGGGTATTTTTTAATTTCCCCAAAGTTCAGCTTTAAAGCTCTAGCAAATTAGTTACATTATAACTTTAATTTGGCACTGGTAAAAAAAAAAAGGAAAACTGTAAATATCTTGGGTTTTTTTTAAGATGCATGAGGTAGGACCTCTTTTACTTGACAGCATACCTCGGAAACCATATAAAATGAGGTGAGCATAAAAACAAGGCCATCTGTAACTTAAAGCAAATTCTTTATAAATAATGGGTACAAAAACTGCAAATGATATTAAAAAGCAAGAGGTGCCTGCACATTCCTTCAATCATTTTCGTGAAAACTCCGGGGGTGTGATATGTAAATACTGATTTTCCAGCTCCAAAGTCAAAGTTTTGCCTGCCCCCTCCTAGAACACACGTGTCCCTTATGGTTCGTAAAGCTCCACTATTTTACCCTGAGGAACACAAAGGGAAAGCCAGAAACTTGGTGCCACCTTTTATTTTTTTATGTCATCATTATGACCTGTCAAATAAGAGTGGATTACCTAATACATACAACGGCAGATAGATGGAGCCAGACTCTCCTTGTTGGAGAATTTGGCTGAGATTGTTACCATTGCTTTGCCTGAAGAATAAATTAAACTGATGTGGCTACAAAAAGGGGTAGAGTCATGATTCCAGCTAGGTGCCTAATATATATGAAGACTATGATACCACCCCCAAACTCATATAAAAGAGCCCCCAAGGTTAAACAAAAAAAGTGTGTCCGTTGAATATACAAGTTACAAACAGCAGTATCACATGTGAAGCTAGAAATTCGATTTAACGGCAGGATCGTGCTCACTGAACTACTAAGAAACCTTTCTTTATGTCATCAAATGGTGCCAGTGTACTACTAAGAAACCTTTCTTTATGTCATCAAATGGTGAAAGTGTACTACTAAGAACCCTTTCTTTATGTCATCAAATGGTGAAAGTGTACTACTAAGAAACCTTTCTTTCTGTCATCAAATGGTGAAAGTGTACTACTAAGAAACCTTTCTTTATGTCATCAAATGGTGAAAGTGTACTACTAAGAAACCTTTCTTCATGTCATCAAATGGTGAAAGTGTACTACTAAGAAACCTTTCTTTATGTCATCAAATGGTGAAAGTGTACTACTAAGAAACCTTTCTTTATGTCATCAAATGTTGAAAATGTACTACTAAGAAACCTTTATTTACGTTATCAAATGGTGAAAGTGTACTACTAAGAAACCTTTCTTTATGTCATCAAATGGTGAAATGCCTGCCAATGTCAACATAAGAACAACTGAGGGTCATAGAGTGGATTTTATTAAAACTGAAGCAGAAAGAAACTGGAACAGCGGTGCATGGCAACCAATTAGCTTCTAACTTTCATTTAAAAAAAAAAAAAGAAAAGCTGAATGGTTACTACGGGCAACTGCTTCAGATTCTGTCAGCTCCAGTTTTGATAGATCTCCCCCCACCGTAGAATTCCTTATTTTTGTAAGTGAATGTTTATTCTTCAACCATTTATTAACATTAGTGGTTGACATCATATAACAATAATTATATATATGATGATTGATATTCATATATTCAGAGTTTAAAACATATACCTTTCTCTGCCTTAGAGCTTACAAAATAATGTTCCTACCACAGTCATAAACACACGCAAACTCCCTCCAGAGTCACTGGGCCAAAGACCAATTGTGTGTATGGGGGGGATCAGAGAACCTGTGGTAATCACAGGTAGCCAAGAGGAAAGCATATCAATTCCATGTGGATACTGCTTCTGCTGGAATTTAAATCTAGAACCCCAGAGTAG